GCTAGACGGGTCGATTACCTCTTCTTCTGTCTTTTAAAGAGACAGGCAGCTTGTCGCCGCTATTTTTGCACAATAAATTTTGCCATTTTGTTGATATAGGCAACACAAATCTTCACAAAATTTCATGCTGTACGTACCTAAAAACCTTCCCCAAAGTTCACCTTCAATGCCTTGTAACTAGTTCTGTTTCGAACGAACTTTTCAAAATCGAATTTTGCAAGATCTGATGCCGTTCTTTGTCTGAATGGTCTTTTTCTTCAATAAGTCCGGTACCCCCGGGTTTTTGGTGTCAAATCGGCCGGCGGGTCGACCGAAGAAACATTGATTATGTAGGCGCGAAATCAGCCGCCGGGTTTTTGGTCTCGATTTTTGAAGACGAGGTGGCTGTATAAAAGCTTTAACCTAAGGAAGTTGAGGCACATCACCCAGCGATGTTCAACCTACTGGTATTCGGAGCGGCTACGGTAAGTTAACCGAGGTTTAGCGAATGCCTAAATATGCGCAGTTAGCTTTAGCTTAGCCTAAGCGTAGCCTAAGCCAAGCCTAGTCTAAGTCTAAGCGCATGCCCAAGCCTAAGCCTAAGCCAAAAGCCAAATCCTCAACAAGCCAAATTTCTTAGCCAAGCCTAAGATAAGCCTAAGATAAGCCCAAGCTATGTCTCAGCCTAAGCCTGAGATAAGCCTAAGCTAACCCTAAGCTAAGCCTAAACTCAGCCAGCCCAGGCAAGCTAGCAAAAACTCCTGAGGAAAACCATGAATCTCTCAGCTCGCCCTCGCCAGCGGCCACGCCTGGACCGAGGTGTCGAAGTGCACGCACCACTGCGGAATGTGCGGATACCAGTTCGAGCACTCGTAAGTTTTATTGAGAGAGAGAGAGACAGAGAGAGGGAGATATCGACAAATCCTTTTTTCAGGTCCCAAGGCACCCGCTTCAGCCCGTGCGCCAATCGCCCCTGCAAAGTCGGCCCGGCTTGCTGCCGCGGGTTCCACGTAAAGGAGGTCGATGGGGTGAGCGTAAAACGTTAGTTTGAGCACGAGCACCTTACCTACATAATCGCCTCCTTTCCAGGAAGAATTCTGCGTCGAGAAGAAGCACGACAAGGACCACCCCAAGAACAGCGCCCACCTCGAGAAGCTGCTCTCAATTCTGAAGCACAAGCACCACTCTGATGACTCGGATGAGCATGAGCACCATCATGGAAAGCACCACAACAAGCACCATGACGAGAGCAGCGAGGAGCACCAGGGACGTCATCATCAGAAGCACCACGGAAAGCACCGTCATGAGAAGGAGAGCAGCGAGGAGGACAAGGAGCACCACAAGGTCAAGGTGACCGTCAAGGTCCATGGAGAGCGTCACGAGGGAAAGGACCGCAGTGATGAGCATGAGGGACGTCATCATCAGAAGCATCATGGAAGGCATCACAACAAGCACCACGACGAGAGCAGCGAGGAGCATGAGGGTCGCCATCACGATAAGCACCATGGCAAGCACCACAAGAAGGAGCACCATCAGAAGCACCACAACAAACATCACGATGAGAGCAGCGAGGAGCACGAGGGACGTCATCACGACAAACACCACCAGAAGCACCACGACAAGAATGGGGTCCAGGCCCGTCACCAGGGAAAGCGCCACGATGAGAGCAACGAGGAGCATGAGGGACGTCACCATGATAAGCACCACGGAAAGCACCACAAGAAGGAGCATCACCAGGGACGTCATCACGACAAGGACAGCAGCGAGGAGCATGAGGGACTTCATCATGATAAGCATCACCAGAAACACCATGGCAAGCACCACAACAAGCATCATGATGAGAGCAGCGAGGAGCATCAGGGACGTCACCATGATAAGCATCACCAGAAGCATAATGGCAAGCGCCACCAGAAGGACAGCAGCGAGGAGAAGCAGCACGAGCGCCACCAAGAGCGCCAGGGTCGCCACCACCACAAGCGTGACCACAGCGACGAGCGTCATTAGATTGACTGGGTGGATTAATAAAGTATGCAACAATTTGATCGAGTACAGGACATTACATTACACATCAGGCTACGCACCGAAACGCGCATTTTTATGGTTTAGGCACAGAATTTTAGGGAATTACAGGACATGGACCGCTAGCACCAGACAGAGCCGGAAACAAGGTTACCTGTCAAATCACTCATTCGATAGAGCTCTACATTACGTTTTCTCTAAAAGCGCCGATTTTGCGCATATTTGGCCGACGCTTTACAAACTGCAAACCTTCAAAAAATGACTTAAAGACCGTTGCCGTTCGGCGGTTTTAAAAAGATGGAGGTTGTTCAAAAAATTTTTAATGGGTAGACTTCCAAAAAAAAGCTTAAAAGTTTTTGAAATCAGCTATTTCATATCACAAAACTCTTAAAACGGCGCCTTGGTAGCACCCGTTCAATGTTCGAGAATCTAGCTTATTCTCGAGTAATGAAGGTCCGTCGGGTTCTTACGCTACTCTACTCTCTTCTAGGGGTCTTGCTTGTACCCGATTGAATGGATCGCGCGTCATTGCGTAAAGCCAAAAGGCGTGAGGTTGAACTGAGGCATCAATAACGCCAATTCCCGCAAAATATATAGCCTGCGGTTGCGCGTTCGTGGATCTGCACGGCTCCCAGTTTATCGTTAGTGCGTGATGGTGTTGGTAAAGGCCGTTTAGTGCGCCAAAATTGGGAAATATGGTAAATTTCCAGGAATTCTAGGAACACTTCGATTCTGGCCAGCTCCTGCTCTTGACGATGGCCGTTTTGTTTTAGTGTCACGCACGTTTTGTTGCTATCTGACCGCATCGCGTTAGGGATTAATTCCTTGTCGCTCGCCAACCATGTAGACATCCCTGACCTCGACCTTGTCGCTCTCCTTGACCTTGTCGCTTTCTTGGTTCTTGCAGACGATGCTGCGCTTCTCCAACTTCTTTCTTCATCCTTGATCACGTTCCTTGGGCACGAGTGGCTTCTTGGCTGGGGCATTCTTTGATCTTGCGTGAGTTCTTGTTGATCCTGCTCGCCAGTGTTGTGATCCTCGGAAAGTGGTAGATTGAGCATGGACGTATAGTTATCGAACAACTGTTTATCTACATAAATGATGGCAGGAGGATCGGCAACAGAGCTAGTCTGTGCCGATAAGTGGGCCCGCTCCGGGAAACTACAATCTCGTCTGGGCGGGAAACTGGCGCACGCGACGCGACCGCAGGGGGGCGCGCGCCGGTGGCTTACCCACTGGATAGGAGGGACACCCGGGAAAGAGGATCTATTGTGGTACAGCGAGCTGACACCACAAAAGCGTATAGATTACCGGCTGCGAAGCTTGTGGAGGACATTTTACGGTTTCGTGGATTACTGAGTTAGCCATTTTTGGAAGTGATAAACCGTACAATCTATGCTCTGTAATAAAAATTTTTCTAAAAAAATATCTTTACTGATACGGGGAATAACGCGACAAATAAATACCATTTGTTCAAAACGACAATCACTACAAAATACACGACACACGGTTTGACAGATTTGCCAAAAGATCAGCAGTATCACAAAATTGGTAGGGCAAAAATTAAAAAGAAAATCGGACATGGTATCACAAGCCGGGGGATGATTCTGGAGATGCTGTCACGTCACTGGGGTGATTTTTTGAGATCGAAAAATTATGGCAAGGATGGCAAAAATAGGTATACAAAAATGCAAAATACGTTTGGCTCTACACTACATCTTTATACGACGTAGAAAAACCTCAAAGAACGTAGATATCTCATTCGCAAGCCAGCTTTCCGTGGAAGGACGTCATCGCAATGCCAAAAGCTTGTAGCGCGGAGAGTGGGTACCGGAAATCCATGGTGAACTGCTCGTCGTTGACGCGCCCGAATTGCATGACGATGTAGTCGGCTAAATCAGAGATATTGGCCTTTTCAAGGACCAGAAAGCGAGAGAATCGACCCTTTTACCGACTAGGTCCAGACAGCAACCCTCACGCTGGGACGCGGAGGAAAAAAATCGAAAAAGCGGCGTCTGCGGGCGTCAAATGGATTGTCGCATAGCTGTCTAGACCTAGTCGATAGAAGGGGTCGATTCACAATGTTTTACCTAAAAAAACTTACGATCAATGTCATGGACGATTTGGAAGTTCTTGACGGACGCCTGGGTGACGCGACCGTGGAAGTTTAGGACGTAGGATTGCGTATCTGAATCAAGCGATAGAGAGAGAGACAGAGATGACGAGAGAGAGAGAGAGAAAAAGAGAGAGAGAGAGAGAGAAAGAGGAGAGAGAGAGAGAGAGAGAGAGAGAGAGAGAGAGAGAGAGAGACTAACCTTCATTCCAAACTGGAGCTTTGTTCTGAAGGACGCATAGGTCGTCCATGCGACGTAGGCGGTAGCGTTCCATGATTCCGTCGCGGTCCTAAAATAGAAGTTGAACTTCCGGTTTCCCTCTCTCTTTATCTCACCCTTTCTCTCTCCACCCCCCTCTCCCTCACTCTCGTGCTCATTCTCTGTCTTCTCTCATTCTCTTTGTCTCTTTTTCTTTATTTCACTCACCGAAGTAGGCTTTATCTGTTTCCGGATGTACCGCTCGCCGTCGAGCATCCCGGGGATGATGACTGACATTTTGCGCGGTCCCTTGAAGCCGAGAACGTTGGTTTCCTGCAAAAACGTAGCTTGTTGCTGTTTTCTTTCTCTCTCTCTCTCTCTCTCTCTCTCTCTCCTCTCTCTCTTTCTCGCTCGCGCTCTCTCTCTTCTCTCTCTGTCTCTCTCTCTCCATTTTCTCAAACTTTGCTCCCCCGATCTTTAACCTCCGAAAACCCAAATTTCGAACTTTTGACATTTTTCATTTTTCAAATACCATTTTTGGAAGTTGAGAACAGAGCAAAAATTACTTATGTAGTCGCAAAATCAAAGACCCGCCCGCGAAGCCGATGCATATTCAATTACGCTATAAAAGCCGGATCGAAGCTCGGGAAGACACGATCCTGTCTGGCGACGGCCACCACCATGCCCAGGATGATACTGGGACTGCTGTTATTTGGCGGGGTTACGGTACGTGGTTCACTTTGTTGTGTTTTGAACCGGCATGGCAGCATGGCAGGCTAGCAGGGATTTTTTGGGGAAGTCAGGGAGATCAGGTAAACCACAAGATTTTTTGCGCAATGGGCTAGGACTATGAAGCTGGAAATAGTGATGGCGTGCTAGCAGAGGTTCCTTAGGAAAACTGCAGGATTTCGCGCGTGCAGCAATCTAGCAGAAATTCTTGGGGGAAACAAGAGCGGAGAGTCGAACTTTGTAGCGGTGATACAGAATATCTGCGAAGCACCCGCGAAACAGCGGCTACGTAGCACGAAATATTAAACTTTCACTCCTAAAATCCCGCGAAGTAGCCGCGAAACCCGCGAAACACCGGCGAAGCACCCGCGCATCGTCCGCTCCGCACGCGAATAGCCAGCGAAGACTCGGCGATTCACCCGCGAAGCACCCACGAATCCCCGCCAGCACCCGCAGAGAGCCCGAAAAATACCCGCGAAGGACCCGCGAACTGCTAAGTACCGCGAAGCACCCGCTACGCGCGCGCAAACCCTCGCGAAGCACCCGCGAACGTCCCCCAAAGCACCCGCGAAACAGCGGCTACGTAGCACGAAATATTAAACTTTCATTTCAGCTCGCCCAGCTGCTTCCACCCAAGTACTCCAGCGATGATCTGATTGACCTTCCCGACTCCATTGAACTTCACCGCGACCGACTTTCAAAGCAAAATCCGAAAACGCTTCACAACCTCCCGACGTCGGAGCGAAATCGCCACACTCGCCCTGGTGGCCTCGAATTGATGAATGGCCAGAAGCACCATGTCGGGTCGGACGAGTCGGGCTCCGAGGAATTCGCGCCTCGACATTCTGGCCATCAGGGAGCCAGCCGGAACCACCGCCTCGACGTGCTGATCAGCGTCTTTGGCGTGGGAGGAGGAGCCTCGACTGAGGAGCTTGACTACGGCAATGATCCATTGCTGGAGCGTCTTCAGGGGCGACCGTGGGGACAACCGAAGAAAGGAGGACGTCGTCCTCAAGTTCAGCACCACGACACCGCTCACGAGACGAACTTTGAGGATCAGCGATTGGAGAGCGAGCCGGAGCACACTCAACAGGTACGACGAGTTTGAGCTTGGGAGTAGAGGACGAGGCGTGGATTGGCAAGTAAAGGGGGGTATGCAATACGTCTAAAATTTTTCGGCCACGCCGCGAGCCGTGACGCAGACAGCTCGCGTAACCGAAAGCGTTCATTAAATACTGTAATGTACAGCCAAAAAAAAATAAAAAATTGTGACGCGCATGCAGCCACGCGACGCGTGACGCCTGCCGGAACGCGAGCCGCGACGCGTCTATGTCGTCGTGCTTTACTAGAACAGAACGAAAGACGCACCATGTCGAATTTCGGAAAGCCATTTCAGAGACCCCGCCAGCACGGCACCGGTACCTTCCACCCACACCCGGCGATGGGCCCAGTCGGAAGAGGACGACGTCGCCCGCTTGGCCCGGTCGGCGGCAGCAGCAAGATGGTGGAGATGGGACCACATTTCTCGGACTTCAGCCCTCCAATTCTTGTGCCAGATCACCCGGAAGTTGATCCGGCACCATGGCCAATGGAGCCGCAGCGCCGCCAAATTCTTCGAACTCCCGCAAACGATGATGACCTGAGCCTTCAGATTGGAGAGAAACGAATGCCCGCCAAGCATAACGCACCCGGGCTGGAGACCATCGTCAGTGAGTTTTGTGGGGGCCGAAAAGGGCTGGCAATGTTTTGCCTCGGAATGCCACTCCTAGGAGATACAAAAATTCTATTCATATAGTTTCTGAAGTGCCGCGTAATTGTCTAGCTCTAGTCTATTACAGCAGTCGAATTCTCGCGCTTGCCCGTCCCTTGAAGTCATTAGGGATGTAACACAATGACAACTCCTGAAAACTCGAATTATTAGTAACCAGCGCCCAAAACCCGCTTCGCGGGCCTTGGGCGCTGGAATGCGGCCTTTGCATGAGAAATTTGACTTTCCGATAGCTTGGGTCTTCCAGCCCCTCCCTTCCTCCGACCAAACTCGCACGTGCAACTTTCAAGAATGAGGAAATTTGTATTTTTTTGGAATTATGCAAAGTAGCCCTCCCTGGCGCCGGACACACACACACAGAGATACACGCCAAAATTATATAAGGTAGCAAATGTTGAAGGGTTCGAGAAAGTCGAAAATCGCCATCTCCCCCTGGACTAGTTCTAGGCAACTACGCAAATTTTATTTAAATAGCAATTGCGTTGTAAAAAACTGGAGCCGAGGCGCTTTGTTGGGGCGCGGATAGACCTAGTCGATCGAGGCAGTCGATTACTGCGCTATATAGTCTATATAACTTGATCTTAAGGCTCCGAAGAGTTCCCCGAAATCCCCCGGGCCAAGCGACAAGTCAGCGATGAACCGGATGAGGGAGAGGAGGAGGACGACACCCAGGAAGTCCTTGAGCGCTCCAATAAGCTCAGTCCGCTTCGGGTACCGCTTCACAGGGGGCCGATCCAGACGGTGAAACCACCTTTCCAGCCCATACCGACGATCTGGTTTCCCACGGCACAGGTCTCTCTCTCTCTCTCTCTCTCTCTCCTTTTCTCACTTGAAAAAACTTAGATTCAGAAGCACGATGAACACAAACTGCCCCTGATTGGCCAAAACCAACTTCCGAATGCCAAATCATCTCCGAAACCTGCCACAACAACCCAATATCCACCAGTACATGTTCAACTCAAGCCAGGACAGCAGATTGAAATGGTCGACGAGCCGTTGTCGATTAGTCTCGATGATGTGGTGCGTGTTTCTCTCTCTCTCTCTCTCTCTCTCTCTCTCTCTCTCGCTGCTCTTTCTCTCTCTATCTTTCTCTCTCTCTCTCTCTCTCTCTCTCTCTCTCTGCCTGTCTCTCAATCCCTAATATTTTTAGAAAAAGCCCCACCATCCCCAAGGAAAGCCCAACCACAAGCCAATCCCGCGCGGTGGATACCAGCCTACCAGCCAAATTGAAAAACCGCAAATCAGACTTCCAAATGACAAACGTGAGTTGTCTTGGAATCCTCAATAATCTCTGCTCCCTCGCCAGGCTTAGTCTGCTACCGTAAGACGGACTGTTCCTAAAGGCTATCCGCTAGCTCGCCAGGCTTACAAAGTTCCCGAAGCATCTTTGCTAGCTTGCCAGGCGTATGAGGCCACCGTAGCACCGACTGCTCCTAAAGTATATTTGCCAGCTGCATAGAATTAACTGGGTATCGTAGCACGGCGGATTCTTAAAAGATCTCTGCTAGCCGCCCAGTTTAGCGCTCTTCAAGCAGTGGAGCGCCTGGAGAGACGCTGGGAGCTGTACGGCCAAGTGCGGAATGTGTGGATGGAAGCGACAAGAGCGGGAGTGTCCTCATAGCATTTTCTGCGAGTAAGTCCTGCTGGCACTATCCTTTGAAAGCTCAGAAATGGGCTGGAATGCGCGAGGATCGACCCCTTCCATCGACTAGGGTTAGACCATTAAATCTAGATAAAACGCAAGAAAAGAGCATTACAACTTACCTCAAACGCCCATGTATACGAGCTACAAAATGCAATTATCACACGTAATTCGGATACGGGCGCTGCATTTGACAACGCCTGAACTGCAGGATTCCTATTGCGCGCCCCAATGACCGTAACCCACGGCCCTGGGTTTACGCCGCGTAATGGCTCCCAAAAACCCAAAACAAAGGCTAAGGCTTGCTAAACATATTTCTTTGCTCGTTTTAATAAATATTTATTGAAAACAAAGTGTGTAACAACAATTTTAACAAGGAAAATCATAATAACTAGGGGTTGAGCTTTCTTTTCGCCGCTTTCGTTTGCATTGAGTGCAATTTTGCACATTCATCACTTTTTCTTCTTTGCATATAACGCCTACACAGCGCCTAGAATAAATTTATTAGATAGAATTTATATAATAATTGGTTTTGTTTAGATGTCCACCGATTGTCCCTGTTGCTCTTATAAGGCTGATCGCCCCTACAACCTAAAGGTGCACACGGGGGCTCAACCCCTAGTTATTATGATTTTCCTTGTTAAAATTGTTGTTACACACTTTGTTTTCAATAAATATTTATTAAAACGAGCAAAGAAATATGTTTTGCAAGCCTTAGCCTTTGTTTTGGGTTTTGGGAGCCATTACGCGGCGTAAACCCAGGGCCGTGGGTTACGGTGATTGGGGCGCGCAATAGGAATCCTGCAGTTCAGGCGTTGTCAAATGCAGCGCCCGTAATTCGGATCGTAAGGTCGCGGTCGAGACCTAGTGAATGGAAGGGGTCGATTCTTAAAATATTTGACTCTTTTAAAGGACCATTAAAGGCAAAATATATATTTTAGAGGTCCCAAGCACCGGTACGTCCCTTGCGGCTCCAACGTCTGCGACAAGGACACCCCCGATCGGAGGGCTGAACGGATGCTGTACCGGCTTTAGGCCGATGATGGTTGAGGAGGAGGTGGGATCGCTGAACGGCCCGGATACCATGAATCCGTAGTTCAAAATGCCGTAAGCCAGAATGCCGACAAAGAAAACTCCGGCACCTAAAAGGGTTAGGCTACAACTACACCACTAGGCCTGTCACATGAGATATTTGCGTCGGTATTTTGGTCGTCGGCATTCACAAGGATTTTTGGTTTTTTTTCGCAAATTAAATTGTCAAATTCTACACAGGAACCCTTCCGGAACCCGAAGTCGCACCTCGAAATCGAAATTGAGATCGAGATTCGCCGTAGGAAGCACCAAGTCCTGCGATGTGTCGCCATCAACCAGACTGAGCATCAGGAGTATGAAGGGAAACAGGTCATTCCCTCTCTCTCCCGAACTCGCTCTCACTCTCTCTCTCTCTCTCTCTCTCTCTCTCTCTCTTATCGCTACTTCGTACCTTTTCCAGCACAAAGTCGGCTTGCAAAAGCGGCCAACAGGTTGGGAGAGCCACAGCCACGAGAGTTCTTCCTCCGAAGAAGAACGCGGGCATCGTCAGCCTCAGGTAGTTTACCACATCTCCATCGCTCTCTAGCTCTTTCTCTCTCCCCCTCCTTCTCCCTCTCTCTCTCTCCCTCTCTCTCTCCATCGCTCTCTTTTTCAATCCCGAATGACCTGGACAAAATTTAGAAGCACCACGACCACGGGGTGACTCTGATTGCGCGAAGACCGCATCCGAGGCCCAAGCCAACCTCCGAGCCAGCTCCTATCCGATGGCGACCAGTACATGGTCAAGGAAAGCCAGGAGTACATGAAGCTGTCGACGAGCCAATATCGATTAGCCTCCCAGAAGTAGGTTTCTTTCTTCCCCCCTCTCTCGCTCTCTCTCTCTCTTTCTCGCTCTCTCTCTCCGTCTCTCTGTCTCTCTGTCTCTCTCTCACTCTCTCTCTCTTTCTCTCTCTCGCTCTCTGCTTTTCTCGAACCGTTGTTTTT